AGATGCCATCATTACGCGCTTTTTCTGGTTTTTGTTCTATTTTTTTTTTTTAAGGGGTGGGAATGTTTTGTTTTTAAAATCCTAATGATTTCTGCCATACTGGAGCACAATAAGAAGCCTGGCATCGCGCCAAAGCAATTTAGCAATAAATACCCACGCCAATAAAAGTTAACAAAACAGAAATTAGGCAGAAGGAGATGCGGTGGTACCAACGCATTCCAAACCCACTGCGTTTGTACACTGGAAATGCAGAGCTGGCCTTGGCTGCAGCCTGAGCAGAGCTTGCGGAGAGACGCGGCTCTCCGTTTGCTCAAGAGGACAACCGAAAGGTCACAGGAGGACAGCCTATGGGGAAGGCTTGCAGCTCTTCCTACTCAGAAAGGTCAAAGTCATTTTCTTGCATAACTTTTAACATTTTTGGTAATTAGACCCAATTTTTCAGATTACTCTGTGAAAGGAAAGGGCATATATTAAAGAAATTAAACTGTTTCCTGCTTATTCATCTCTCACAAGACGGCGTCTCACGACCAACTCTATTTGCCATCTCCTGACTACAGCCATTTGCCATCAGACTGCCACCGAAGCAGCAAACACCAATTGTGCACACCCATTACCAAAGAGCACATCAATTCAACAGTTTCCATACGCCGTCTGATTTCCGACATCATCCCTGCTTGGATCCCAACCAGTGACCCGAGGTGAAGCTGTTCTCCATAACCCCACCCACTCCCATTTCTGGTTTGCGACACCACTGGGGGAATGTCTGAGTACACCAGTGTTTCTGATGGAGAGAAGAACTGCACAGTTTGCTTGGGGATTTTTAAGGGATTTCACAAACTGTTTTTTAATACAACATTCTTTTGGATTCTGCTAAGTTCTAGCTGCAGCTTATCCTCTGATTCTGAAATAGCAGTGTGGAAGAAAGCTACCCATCGCATTTGTTTTCTCAGTTACTGAGCCCCAGCCAAGGATCCTGCAACACCACCCCCACTCGACCCTCACCAGTTGGCTTTTTGGACTGCACCTCCCGCTGGGACCTCAGCCTCAAGCATTCAGACACGTGGGCTTCTAGCACTAACGTGCCCTTGAATTAAGCAAACGACTTGAATACAGTACATTCCACATTCTCTAGCCCAAAATGTGACCTTTCATCAAGGTAAAACTGCGAGTAATGGTTCTCCAGCAGAGAATGCAAAATTCATCCAACACAGAATTCAAGAAATACTGACACTTCTTCCTCACAGACTCAAAAATGTATGTAACAGCTTAAAAACAAGACAGCATCCTGAGGACCGCTGAGGAAAGGAAACACGCATAGCACATGACCCAGCCATGCAGCTCTCCAGCCCCTTCTCACACAGTCCATCCACTGGGCCATATTTCAGCTATAGCACAGCATGTACCTGGTGACTTGCAGATGTTTCTAACTACCTTCCCATCTCTGTCATTCCACCCATCATCAGTTGTAGGGCTCTAACCAACAGAGCCATTCGGAACACACAGATCAAGCCCACCACAAGCAAGAACTGACAACCAAGCAGAACTGAGGTACCGTCCCAGCAGTAGGAAACTGCTCAGAGCCATCTTACATCAGGCAGTTGTGTCCTACGTGAATGTGCTTTTAAGCAGGTAACTCTAGATGCAAACAACAGTATCCAGAATTACCAAACGCACTCACAGAGTATGCTCAAGTAATTGGAAGGTCAACTCCACAGAAAATATAGACGGCTGGCCACAATTACAGTTTGGCTGCCAAATTCATTGAGAAACTGGAAGTGACCTAACAGCTGTTCAAATAACCACAGAATATTAAAGCACTCTTGTGAGATATAAGTTTCATCTTGAATAAGCCTTGCCTCTCAAACAGACGTGTCGTTTATTTGTCTATGACCACTCTGTAGAGACAGCTGTTTTCTCATCTGACTGCCACACTGTGTTCTTCGCTCTCTGCACCTCCCTCCAGCAGTTCAGATTCTGCTTCCAGATAATCCGTGTTTGAAATGATTAACCATGTGCTAAGTTCTGGTGCTGATATATTTTCTGCTGGGTGAGTTAAACAGCACCAGGTAGAAAAAAATCTTTTTCATGAAGTTAAAGTATTGGCATAAGGTTTCATATCAAAGTAATTTCATTAAATCAAATTCAGATACTTTTTAAGTACTGGAATTGTGAGCATTACAGGAAGAGCCTGAGAAAACTCTAACTGGAGTGAACTCTGGCTATTGTTGTACATTTCTCAATACAGGAAAAAAAAAAAAAAGAACCAAACAGTGACTCAGCTGGGAAGACTTGTAAAATCTGACTGGAATTCTCCTCAGAGAGAGGGCAAGATTTATCCAACGCAAAAGTACACATCCGCATCAGGAATCATAGAATGGCCTGGGTTGAAAAGGACCAAACTGATCATCGAGTTTCAACCCCCCTGCTATGTGCAGGGTCACCAACCACCAGACCAGGCTGCCCAGAGCCACATCCAGCCTTGAATGCCTCCAGGGATGGGGCATCCACAACCTCCTTGGGCAACCTATTCCAGTGCTTCACCACCTTTTTATGGTCAATGAAGAGCAGTGAATACTTTTCAAGTACCCTTTGCCTCGTTCTCAGTCAGAGCTGTACAATAAGTCATCCATTTGTTCCACAAGACTATCCAGAATCCCACAAATTATTAGGTCAGATAGGCATTTACAAAATTAGATGGGGTAAATCCCACAGAATGTTTCAAATGGCCCCTTTAAAAGCTCTATTTTGTTCACTGGGTATATTTCATTTCATTTCAACATGCCACGATCCCCCTAAATTCAACTGAAAGGAAAAAGTAAGCAAGCTCCTTCACACTGACATTTGCACTCTCACTGTGTAATTTCTTTTGCTTGGAACAGAAAACAGAGGGAGCTTTTACACAAGGGCCATGTAAATGTGCACAACTTGCAGACACACTGAGCCTTGCTCAGGAGCACTCAGTGTGCTCACAGACATTTTGAATCACTTTTCCTTTTATTGTACCACCGCTCACACAAAACACCCTCACCGGTACAGAACCACCTTCCCACAAAGATTACAGCCCCCACCTCTGATTTTATCAAGAGATGAGGCCTGGATCTGCTCAACTTCAGTGACATCTCTGTTCTTAAGGGCCACAATCACTAACAGTACGACAGGAATTCAGGTATAACCTCAAATACTGCCATAGTAATCATCTCTGCAGAAAATTTTATTGATTCATCTCCTTCCAGCAATACACATGCACTTGCCAGATGATATTTCTATTAAATATTCATCATCTCAGCTCTTCAAACCCCAGAGGAACAAACCAAAATAAATCACTGCAATGAAGCCACACATCTTCTAGAAAGAATCAAATGAATTCCGGTTTTGAAGACCTATCTCAGCGTGTATATAAAGCCTTACTGTACTGGGGAGTGCACAGCGCTCATCGCAGACCGCTGACTCATTCGAGATCTTTTCCTAGAGGTTCAAAAAAACAGCAAGGCATCCATGCCAAGTGCGAGCACTTTGTATGCCCTCCGTACACTCCCCTCCCTCAGAGCTTTTCCTTTTGCTTTTTGGGTTTTTTGTTAATATCTGAATAAAATCCGAAGGAAAAAAAAAAAAAGTGTCCTACTTTATAGTGTAGTTTCATGAAGTAGGAACACTGAAAAAAGGAATTCCCCCTACGTGGATGGCAGCCTGAAAGCACAGTGGTCATCTGCTTGGTCAACGCCAGCGGTTTTTCTGGGGCAAACTTCTGCACGGAAGGCAGCAATGCAAAAAGCTGAGCTATGACAATTACAGAGGGCTCCTTCCTGCACACAAAGGACACAGATCTAATACCTCATCGCTGCCATCACTACTGGCTGCAAGCACAAAGTGAGTGCGTTACTGGAAGCTGCCCACTGGAGTAACCGTAAGAAGGGACAACCGGTCACAAAATCACAGAACCCTCAGTTGGAAGGGACTTCCGAGGACCATCTAGTCCAACTGCCCTGCAAACCTGCACGCCCAGCCAACATTCGTTCTTTCTTCTCTTCGTGCCCAACGGTACCACCACGAGCTGAGCCGACCCGCGGCGCTCAGGGCCACCGGCTGAACCACCTCTCCTCGCACGTTAAGAGCACGGGCACCATTCTCGCCCAACGTCTCCGAGGCGAGACGGCTCGCTCTCATTTTATCTGCCCTAGAGGCAGCTCACGCTCGCACTCAACCGCTTTCATCGCTCGCTTTTTTCTACCCGAAACTTGAAGGATGCCGCAGAATGGGTCACGTTCGGGGCGGCGACGCGCATTAAAGGCCGGCACACGGAATCGCCCCTTTGTTTTATCCGCTCGGGCCTTTCCCGGCGGCGTTTTGCGGGTGATTGATGACGGGCCGCCCTCCCCACTTCCCTCCCTTCCACTCCCCCTTGTCGCCGTCGTCCCCCCCCCCCCCCACAACGTCTGGGCGGGGGGCGGTGGCCCCCCGAGTCCGTCGCTCCCACCCCCGAGAGCAGGGGGGCTCCGAGCGGGTCCCCACCCCGCCGGGCATTTCCGCAACCGGGCTCGGCCCTGCGGCTCTCCCAGCACCGGGGAAGAGGGGGGTGGGAAGAAGACGGAAAAAAAAAAAAAAAAAAAAAAAAAAAGGAAAAACGAGAAAAAAATAAAAGAAGGAACCCCTCCGTGCCCGCCGCCCGACCTCACCGCCCAGCTCCCCCCGCGCCCCCTCCCCTGCTTGGTCCCTCTCCGCAGCCCCCCCGCCCCGACCCCTCTCTCCCAGAGCCGGCCGCCCGCAGCGGCGCTACCCGCCCCCCTTCCTCCCCGTCCCTCCTCCCCCTCTCCTGCCGCAAACGGCCATTTCCATTGTGTCTCCGCCGCGACGCTGCCAAGCCGAGCGGGGCCGGCCCCGGCCTCCGCCGTCGCCAACCGCCGAGCCGACGTAAAACGGCCGGGTTGGGTGGGGGGAGGGCCGCAGGACCCCCTCCTCCCCTACGCCCTAACCGCAGCCCCCCGGGTTCCCCCCCCAATCACCTGTGGTGAGCCGGGAGGACACCTCTCCGAAGGGCGAGGGCTCCATGCGCAGGTATTTCTGCGGGGAGGCGAAGGAGGAAGAGGAGGCGGCGGCCGAGGCCGGGGCTGACAATGGCGCACATCGCCTCCGCTTCGGGGACGCCGGGCTGAGCAGCGGGTCGAAATCCAGAGTCCTTTTCAAAGTGGCGCCGCACGCCATGGCGCCGGGCGGCGGCCGGGCCGGGGAGCGGGGCTCGGAGAGAAGGGACCGGGAGACGGAGGCGAGCGGCCCTGCCCGGAGGCGCCTTCCTCGCTATCTAGGGTGGGAGGGAGGGAAGCAGGGGAAGGAGGGGACCGCTGCGTCAGGGCCTCCGTCGCCTCCCTATCGGCCTCTCTCAAGGGAGCGGCCGCGGCCCCAGCCCCCGGCGGCTCGGCCGGCCGGGTCCCCTCTTGTCGCCCGTCCTGCCGTAACCCGCGCTCCGGCGGGGCCGATTCCGCCCGCGGAGGGTCGCGGGGCGGGCGTTGGGCCGAGAGGTGCGGGGCTGGGCCCGGTTACCCGGCTCGCGGCCGCCGATGACGAGCGATGGCGGCGGGGCCCGAGCGGCGGCGGCAACGGCGCTCCCCTCTGTGACTCCCACACCAGCAATATGGCGTCAATAACAACGCCGCGGATTCAAAAACCAGCCCCCCACACAGCGCCTGCGCACCTGAGGCGGCGGCGGCCGCGGAGGCTCTGGGGAATTGTGGTTTCCCCGCCCCCTCCTCGCTGGTCGGCGGAGGGCTGCCCGCCGGGGGCGGTGCGACTACAAATCCCGGCGTGCCTCGCGCCACCCGGCCCGACTTCCGGGCTCTGATTTAAATCCCCCCTCGGCGGTGGCGGTGGCGGTGGGGTGTGTTGGAGGGTGGTTGTGGGTGGCGGCGAGATGGTGGCGCCTGCGGGGTTCGGGGCCCCTGGGGGTGGGGTGGGGGTTCTCCAAAGGCGATGGGCGCACGCCGAGGGACAGGAAGACGCGCTGTGCGTGCCAGGCCCTGCGGGCCGGCTGCGGGGCTGCTGTTACTCGTGTAGGCAGCGCCGAGCAGGTCCGGCAGCGCCGATGTGGCCGCAGGGCGCGTGTCAGTGCCTGAAGTGAGGGCAAAGTGCGCGTTGCGGCCGTCGTGTGGGGGGACAGCGGGGGCAGAGCGGCTGAGGTGGCAGCTGAGAGCTCGTTCGAGGCAGCCGTGCTGTGAGCAGTCTCCCAGCTCCGGGCTCCCTTACTGAGGGAGGGCGTGTGGCTCCAGCCTTATGTGGCAAGGGCTGAGCTCCTTCCTGTTCCTGACTGAAGTAAACTGTGTCACAGTTCAGCACAGTAGAAATGTGAACAGGAGGTGCTAGGCCTAAAAATGTGTATAACTTCAGCTTTTATGTGCCTTAATTTAAGTGTTAACATCAAAATGCTGTCCTTAGAAGACTAAACGGGCAGGATTTTAATGCTTTTGTTTCTGTTATTTTTTTGTTTTTGTTTTTTTTATAATGAAAAATAAGCTAGCATTTAAAAAATAAAAGCATTGCTTGGAAGCAAGTTCTTGCTTTGTGTGTTCCCTTTGCAGTATGCATATCATGAAGCCCAGCAGCACCCCACAGTCTAAACACCAACCTGCCAGCAGTGTGGCTGCACACTCTTAGCCTAGCTGAGGCTTTAGGTGGTGGGTTGACCTGGCAGAGCCCTTCTGCCCCATGAACATAGAAATAGTAATTACTAATGATGTGTGTTCTCTGCGGCAGATAGCTAGTGATGATGTTGGGGCAATGAGGAGAAATTCTCCTTAGGTTTACCTGAATTGCCTTTGCCTGAAACCAGTTACAGAAAATGTCAGAGTGATTCCTCTGCTGTTATCTTTTCCTCTGTGCAGAAATACTCTGAATATGTCCTTAGTAAGGAGAATGCTGACAAGCCTTCCTAAAACAGTACAAGACTGGAGAAGTATACTGATGTTGTTAGTGTTGTAATTGTCCTACTATTACTCTACTGGTATAACTCTTTCTGTGCATGTTCTTCTTAGGAATAATGCTGGCTGGTTTTCTGTTCATTTAATTTGTAATTTCCATTGCATTTCCCTAAGCAGATAAGTTTCCCTGTATTCATACAGCAGTTTCAAGTATACTTACTGAGTGTTTTGCCAAGTAAGACTGAAGCCAAACTGAGGAACTCGTAAGTAACTCAGCATGCGTATGAGCCAGTTTCTTAGTTTGGAGTGCTCTGAACCCATACAGGGCTGAGACAGCCACTTCTGCCATCATCTATGTGCTGAGAAATGTCTGTGTTGGGTGCAGTATTCATAGAATCATCTGAGTTGGAAGAGATCCTTAAGGGTTATCTAGTCCGACCCCCTGCAGTGTTCATGAGCCAGCATTGTGCCTTCGTGGCCAAGAAGGCCAATGGCATCCTGCGGTGTATCAGAAGGGGTATGATTAATAGATCCAGAGAGGTTCTCCTCCCCCTCTACTCTGCCCTGGTGAGACCACATCTGGAATATTGTGTCCAGTTCTGGTCACCTCAGTTCAAGAAGGAGAGGGAACTGATTGAGAAAGTCCAGCATAGAGCCATAAACAATGATTAAGGGAGTGAAGCATCTCCCTTACAAGGAAAGGCTGAGGGAGCTGGGTCTCTAGCTTGTAGGAGACTGAAAAGTGACCTCGTTAATATTCATAAATATGCAAAAGGTGAATGTCAGGAGGATGGAGCCAGGTTCATCTCAGTGGCATCAAATGGTAGAACAAGGGGCAACGGGTGCAAGCTGGAACGTGTGAGATTCCACGTAAATACGAGAAAAGCTTCTTCACATTAAGGGTAACAGAGAGAATGGACTGGTGAGAGAGTTTGCAGGGTCTCCTTCTCTGGAGACATTCAAAACCTGCCTGGATGCATTCCTGTGTGACCTGATCTAGGTGTTCCTGCTCCAGCAGGGGGATTGGACTAGGTGATCTTTAGTGGTTCCTTCCAATCCCTGACATTCTGTGATTCTGTGATTATGGACACCTACAACTAGATCAGATCTCTCAGCATCTCTCCAGCCTGACCTCGAATGTCTCTGGTGGTGAGGCATCCACCAACAGTCTGGTCAAGCTGTACTGAAAAAGTTCAGTTAATTTTTAGAATAACCAGCATTTCCCCAGTTAATATTTGTGCTGTTTAGTGTATGTACTTCATGTGTACACATACATGCTCTCTGCCTTCTGCAGGAGGAAAGATTCATTTACATCAACTCACATGACACCAGATCCTGAGAACCATTCAGGTGCATTTGCAGTCGATTAAGACAGTCTGGGAAATCAAGCAAAACTTCATCAAGATAAGCTAATAGAAAGCAAGCTTTTGCCAGCACAGGCAGCAACTATAATAGTAAGCAATTGATTAGAACCATGATTGTCGTAATCAACAGTTAATCAGGCGTTATCTGACCTTTAATTTGTTGAACTAAACTGAAAAAAAGTCTGATTTAAGTCAAAATAAGAATTCACACAGCCCTTTGCAGTAAATTAAACCCAGTTAAACTAACGTAGCTTTGCATGTAGACAAACCCTAAGGCAGCAAAGTGTCCAACAGCAGTGACAAAGTGTTTGATGGTTGTCAGAGAACATGTGTTTTTACTTTCATTGTGGCAGGAAACACCATAGGGTCAAGGCTGCAAACCACTGTTTATGTTGTTCTTTCTTCTACTTATTATATAACCAATTTGCAGTGTCCCATTATGTGCTGCATAGGGTGCTTTTAAAATTAAACTATATGTTATAGGCATGTTTTAAAAAATAAATGCCATCCACAAATTTTATTAATGCTGGGAATGGGAGAGCATATTTACAACTAGTGCTGTGCTAGATTTTATTGGATCTGCACTTCAAGCGTGACACCTGCTAAAAGAACAGGTCCAGATGTAGGATAACATTTTGACCTTTGCATTTCTGAACTGGGCAAGAGAAGCAACCCTTCTGTGTACTGCTTTGGGACTGCGGGGAAAATATAGTTGCGTGAATGTTAGTCTTTATCTTTTCTTCCCCTTCCTTCTTCTATTGCTCCATTCCTCCACAGTTTTTTCTCTGTCTTCCTTTCATTCTCTTTAATTCCACCTCGACTCTGCTTCCCTTTCCTTTTCCTTGAGACATCCTATTCATTTGATGCAGGGTTCACATCACGGTCCTTTTATTTTCTTTTGTGTTAATCACATTCCTCCCATTTAACAGTGTCTCATTTCCCATTAACAGGTTGTGCTCACAAGCATGTGACCTGCAGTTAGCTGAGCTCTTCTCTGGCCTTGTTCTGTCTTGCCCTAAGTGAGGAAAAGCCACCTAAAGTGTATGTAGTCTGCCATTCCAACGCATTTTGGCCTTTGATACGTACCAAAGATTTCTTGCTGATGTATCAGACAGTCGCTGCGTTTGCAGATTGTGTAAACAAAATGCAGAAAAGTTGTTCTGTCAGGACTTGAGTGAAGTGTTTATGTGGTGCCAAGTGAAAAAGTGGTTGATTACAATGAGAAAATGGGGATTAGAGTGGGTGTTGTAAGATGGGAAAAACACCTAAAAGAAAAATTGAACGAGTTTCTCAATCTGCTTTGCTATACAAACACATGGCAAGCAAAATAATGGATAAAAAGGAACTGAAGTGAAAGCCAGAGTCGGTGAAGGTCACCTGTGCTATTTAGTTATTTAGTTAGATTTATGCTGGCTAAAGTGTATCAAAAATTATGAACTGAACCTGCAGCTTGGTGTAACCTCAATAGATGAAATAGATGATGTTTCAAAAGAGATGTTTCTTAGATTTAAGATATTTCTATCAGAAGTGTAAAAGTATCTTTGCCAATATTAGAGGCATTAAAAACACATATTTCATCTGAAACACCGTACATACTGCTCATACGCATTCAGGAAAGATTAATTAAAACCAGAACTTGTCCAGAAAAGGTGACTGAACTGCCCAAGAAAATGGAAAACTTATTTATTGCAAGAAGATAAAGGATTGTGAATGGCTGGCCCAGCCAAATCACAGTTAAAGTCTCTGATTTTTCTCCGAAGCACAAGAAGGAGATAAATTTAGGAGCATTTTAAGGTCTTTGTTAGTGGTAGCGACAAGGATGATATAGGAACTGGCTGTTCTCTCACCTAAACTGACTTGCAACTGTCGGAGCCATGAGATTCCAGTGCATTCTTCCATTCCAGCAGCAGTAGTGTGGGTGAAAATAAAATAAAACCCAAATCTTCAAATGTTCTTCACCTAAGGCTTA